GGGGTTTATATACAGCATGGTGTTTTTTCAGAATCATTGGGTTTCATACTGTGGATGGACGAAATCCATTTCGCACCAAGAAAGAAACCATTGCTTGTTGGTATTTACAGGGAAATCGAATCCTTCCGGGGTCTCCGAGGTGGTGCAGGATTTCGTCCATCCAAAGTATAACCTTTGTTTTTTACAGGAAGGTTGGTTTGACAGAATCATTCTGACTTTTACAGGATTGTTGTCAATCTTCAAAGGCACATATCATGGTTTCACAGAATCACTTTTGTTCTTACAGGCTGGTTGTCTATCTAGAACCACTAGGTTTTTACATGGCTTCCGGTTGCCTACTATCCTGGCTTGCTTGGAACACTGGGTACGCAAAGAACCATTGGGCTCGTCTCAAGTCTAGTTGCCCCGAGCAATGGCGAGTGGTCACAAGGACAACCAATTGGATTTGGACCTTAGCTGTGGTGCTTCCCTTGAATTCCACTTGAACAAACCTGACGGAGCTTCAAACCAAATTCTTTCAGAAACCGAGGCCCCGTCTCCTGCATCTTTGAGGCGCTCTCAGTCAGCGCCTCGCACGTGGCAATTGGGGAAGTCCCCCTCCCCTCACTACGATTCTCCCAGATCCTCGTGCTTTTTGTAATGCCCGGTGGATGACACGCCTGCTGAAACAGCCGACCCCAGCGGCCCCAAGTTTGACATCCCCAAAACAAACCCAGGAGCCATCTCCAACACAAGATAGAAATCGGGAGAACCATTTTCCAAGCACCCCTTCCACATTTGTTGGGCATCTTACGGCCCTGTTGTTCTTTCTTTTGCTCTCAACACGAAACGGAACTCTTTGGACCATGGCTATAAGGGTTGTACCAGCCCACCCCAAACAATCAGGCGGTCCTGTGACAAATCGGGGCGGAGTGCCGTGTTCCGCGCCTCTTGGGGCAACCTGAGGCGGCGGATAGTCGGCGGCAAGAGACTGCCGTTGGGCGTTCGATCATGGCCACGTCACGTTGTTCTTATTCAGACCACGGGAACACTGTGGCCCATGGTAATCTACCAGCATTTCGTCCAAAAGGACACACAAGCTTGAGGTCACAGCACATCGTGATTGGCAAAGTCCCGTCCAATCAAAACAAACGAACATGCCCGTAAGTCTGACTGTCGTCATGCTGAGCAATAGCAAACAATTGGCCCAAAAAAACATCAGCAGGAACCCCGAAACCTCAAAACTTCGGCCTCTAACCCCCCCCCAAAATAAATAAATAAACCTTTGGTGTCTCTTTGCCCATTTGGTTGGCTTCAAGGGTGCGGAGACCAAAAGGAACACCGAAATCCGTTAGTGGGGCTCCCTAATTCTAAGACAGCCCCGGGTCAGTCTGCAAACTTCCTGCAGTCCCATGGATTTCCGGGTTGAAAGGGGTCAATGGAAGAATCCAGATACGGCTCTTGAAAGATATGATCGCTGCCAACATCGTGAGGGTTGCAGCTGGATCGATCTAAGCCGCCGGCCAGGTGCCCGTCAGCAAGCCAGCAGCGGCCTGGGAGATGCACTGCAGCCAGTCCCGGGCGCCTCAGGTTGCCGGCGTGGGGGGGGGGGGATACATATCTAGATCCTCCAGTTTTGAGAGGTTAGAATACGTTGGTACCCGATTTTTTCTGTAGTCTATTTTAGTAGGGGAACCCTCTCCCAAAAAAGAGGAGAGCAGGGCAGTGGGAGACTTGATACAGGGACCCCCCCAAGATTGAAATGTGTTTTTTGCTTTTGGTTTCCCTTGAAAACCAAAAAAGGGGCCGCCCCAAAAAACAAGCAGACCCCCACAAGCTGCTTATCTTCAAACCAGCACGGCTATCTTATTGTTTGTCGGCCTAGCTATCTCATGCTGTTTATTTGTCTGGCTATCGACCTGTCCAGCTAGCTATTTGTCTGAACAGTTTCTTGTGTGGCTACCGAGCTATGGATCTGTCTAGCTGTCTGTCGTGCCTAGCTATGGACCTAGTGCCGGCTATCCATTTATCAATATCTAAGTATCTTTCTGTCTATCCATCAGAATCATTCCCCCTCCATTCGTGTTCAAATCGTTTAGAGGAAGTGCATGCTTGTGAGTTCTGATTTTGCTGGTTGCTGTGCGCCGTGTGCAACCATCATGTTTTGTAAAGTACTCGAATAGTTCCGTTGACAACAAAACCCAAAGCAGCGCAATTCGAATAATTCCCGTGACTTCTTCCAGAGATCGGCAGCAGCAAGCGGCAGCCGCTTTCGTACTGTGGAGCGCTGTGGAGAGGCACACAACTAGCTAGCTACAAGTAAATTCTGGACCACAGCCTGGCCAGCTGGCTGCATGCGGGTATGCAGCTCAGCATCGAAATCCATTTTATGAAGACATGCTCCACTTCTTTCTGGGGGTCGTGGTTGGTCGGGGGTTGTGGTTGGGGGGGGGGGAAGTGGCAAAGCTCTTCGAGGGGACAAGCCCGTACCAGGGCACCTACTCTTGCGATCAACGGACGAAACTGCGACCCACGCAAAGTGGGGAATCTAGCGGGCCCCCTGCGTTGTGTGGGACATGTTCGATTGGTGCCTATCCACAAGCTGAAGGCTTTGAGGAAGATGGTTTTCCACGGACATGCATTCCTTGCCCAATGAAAAAACGTGAGCCGTGGTCACTTCCCTAGGTCTGAACTCCTTGAGAGGCCCACCATCACTCCACGCAACATGGGGGGGTTGAGATATGGCTCATGTCCTTTCTATCCCCACCCTTGACGAAAATCGGCGACCTTGAAACAAAAGGGACTGTTTGAGCCTGTTTTGGGGGCGCATCTGCTTTCGGTGAAAACAAAAGGGTCGGTTTGTCCCAACATCATCCGACCGCCCTCTTGGGACGCTGGACCTTGGACGACCCCTCTTTCTCCTGGAGCAAAACCAGTGCGGAACAGGGCACAAAGCAATGTGCTAAACAATAAACAAGCTTGGGTTGATCCGTTTGGTTGCCGGTTGGTGTTGAAAACGTTGTTTGCAAGGCGCCCCCCCCCAAACCCTTCCAATGCAGACCCCCAGGCCCTCCAAGGGAGAACCCGACCAATTCCTCAAGGGCCCTCAAAAGCCAAACAAAACCGTCGAATCGGACCCTTAGGATCATGCCAAAAAACAGCCTTCTCCCTTTCTTACTAGGCAGAGGGGTGCCTCATGGGGTTCTTCCTCTTGCTTCCTAAATTGGGCCCACCATGTCAGCAACCGCCAGCCAGCCATTTCTTAGGGCTCCGGTTTCGCTGGGCCCCCGGGCGCGCCACAGGCCCCGGCCCCGGCGGCCCCGCGTCCGCGTCCGCGTCCGTGAGGGCGGCGGCCGCCCGATCGGCGGCGGCGCGCACGCGGGCCACGGTCTGCTCCATGGCCTCTCAGCATGGGTGTAAGCCAACCAAAAGGCAAACGGAACACGAAAAGGAAAGCACAAGCCATGTTTCCACAGGTTCCAACATTTGCCCAAAAATTGAGGAGACCCGATGAATATCACCACCAACCACTTGTTTGGTCCTCTCAAACGGGTCCCAGGCCCCGCAAGCTTTTAACTGAACTCGCAGAAAAGCACCAAAGAGCGGCTCCCCCGTTCCCCTTTGGCGTCCCGAAGCCTCGCTGCCCATGGCTCGAGAGAGCTCGCCGGTGACCCGGTGGTCTCTCTGGGTGCGACGAACGTCGCCCTTGGGATGGGCTAGGGAATCCCGGAAAACTTCACCATGCTGTGGATGGACAAAATCTATTTCGCACCACCTCAGAATCTGTGGAATGATACGACTAATCCGAAAATACCGACAAACAATGGTTTCTTTGGTTCGAAATGGATTTCGCAACCATCCACAGTATGAAACCATCTGTGAAACCTATTAATCGTCCTCTACAAACTCAATGATTCGCTCATGATTTAGAAGGGTTCCGTCTTCTGGGTAACCAAATTTTGGTTGACCGCAAATTGTCCAGAGACGAAGCTCGTTGCCGCTCCCTTCAACACGTGGTGATGTTCTGAAACTTGGGACTGGTGGCCCCAGGTTTGCTTTTCAGCTGAGCCAACGGCTTGCCGTGCGGGTCAGGTACTCGCAGCCACTTCCTCCGTAGACTCAGTCCATGGGCTGCCACGCAACTTCCAAGAGCCCCGCAGATTCGGCCACGGTACTTTCGGCTTGAGGAAATCAAACCGGGCCTTGGGGCAAACAGGTGTAAACCTTAGCCTCACGACACACCCGACACAAGGCTAGAAGTTGGCAAAGGCAAAGGGAAACCAAAGGTAAGCAACCCGTTTTTACGGGCAGGAGCAATCCCACACCATAAGTCGCCAACTGGCGCTACTAAATAATTGACCATAGGAAAATATATGTCTATTTCTTGTTAACCACAAAATAAGTATTTATTTATATGTTTCTTATTAATAAAAGCATTATATTATTACCATCAAAAATATTAAATGCTTGTCAAAAATATATCATTTCCTTTCTCTTTATGAGTCTCTTTTCATTATCTTATGGTATATTTCTTTTATATGTGGCTATCTTATTTATTGAATTTATTATATGTTCATTCATCTTTTCATGTCTATTTATTTATCATTTTCATATTTATTTTCACATTTGTTTGTTTAGCTTAATTATATTTATCTTTCCTATGTCTTCTTTATTATCTGTTTATCTTAGAATTATGATTACGTATTTGTTTCTTATGTAATGTATCTTTCTATTTCTCTATCATAATCTCTTTAATAATCATATATTATTCTTATTAATAATCAACATTAAATAATATCTGATATTTATTTTACTTCTTTCTTCATGCCTTTTTTATTTCTATGTTCGTATCTTAAAGAATCCTGTCTTATTCCCTGTTAGCCATTCCATCTCCTGGATCTACCTTCATACCTGCTGGTGCGACAAGTAGGGATGTGGAAATGAACCCAGGGATTGCCTTAAAGGAAACCATCTTGGATGGTTTTTCTTGAGGCCATCGCACCAGCAAAGGCCACCTTCTGGCTTTCGGCGCGCAAACCGCCCCTTTTGGGTCCTCTCGCGCGCGCTCGTTCGGGCCCAGAGGGCCGTCCGTTTCGCCAGGGCCATTAACGGAAGTGCATCGCGGTCAAGCCTCGGGGATTGGCCACGTTTCGGAGCCCAAAGCTTTGGGGTTGCCACAATGGATGGGTCTCAGTCTGATTTCAATCAAACGGACAAACGCCCCCCCCCCCAACTCCCCCCAGAAAGCAGAGATTCTGCCAATATGGAGGTCTCTGTCAACAGGGACTGGGCAAAGGCAAGGTGTTGCCCGCTTTCTAAGGAGAATTGTCGGGCAACAGGCCTGAAATATGGGGTATGTCAGATCCCATACTGACTACTTGATCGCTGAAAAATCGAGTGACCCTAAACGGGTTCTAACAGCCATGGACTCCATTCGCATGTTGCATGGATGCTTTTTGGCGCTTCGATCGGAACCCATTGAGTAGAATCCGTACGGGTCCCCGACCTTCCAACCTCTCCGGAAGGGGCGCTGGGTAAACCATTTCTCCGTTTCCATGGGCACCCCTGGCTGCCACATGTACAAGCCCAATTTGGGCTGCTGGCGTGAGAAACCGCCGGCATTCTAGGTGGATGTCAAAGAAGGAAAACACCGCCCATCCAACGGCGAATCACGGCCCAAGCCCGCCCGATTCAAAGTCAATTGCGAGCTCTATAGGTACCGATTCCCAAAAGGCATGCGGTAAGTCGCGAAGGCGCCCTAGTGGATTGACTCAGGAACCTCTCCAAATGGCAACGGCTTCCTTTTGGTTTCCTCAACCAACCAAAGGCACAGAGTCTGCTGGCCGCGGGCTAAGGTATCCGGCGGCACGGGGAGGCACCATGAGGGACATTAGTCTCAGGACACCTGGCGCTCGGCGCGAATCGTTCGACCCGATATACCAACCCCACAAGTGAGGAACCTTGGGGCAGCAGGAATTTTCCCAAAATGAGGTCCGACCCCATTCTTGCATTGGTACGTTCTGTGCCAAAAAAGCGATAGGCTACCCGAAGATAATATCAAGCTGCAAGCTGATGGAGGCCTATCCAACACCGATGTCCTCGCCATATGTCCTTTTGCTAGAACACTTGTTCGCCTATGAACAGACAGTCCCGTTGCTCCATACGGCGCGGCCTGTGTGAAAACAAGACCCATGCGCTTCGGTCCTGTTGCCACCTTGCGGCCAAGGGCTTGCCACTTGAGACAACTGCAACGCTCAGCGTATATCCGATAGAATAAGGGTACCCTTTTTTCTGTAGTCTATTTCAGTAGGGGAACCCTCCCCCAAAAAGGGTAAAGGGGCACTACTGGGGGACCTAGACAATATGGCGAACCCTAAACTGATAAGCCCCGATTTGTTTTTGATCTGGGAGTGTCTCTCCAGTGCGGCTGCGTCACTTTTTGAGCGCTCCCCGCTTTTTTATGTTAACAAAAAAACAAACAAACAAAAAACGGGTTCTACTTACAGATCCGGGGAGAGCAGTGGCATCTGAACCTCTTGTAGTGTAGACGGTACACGGGAAGCCGCCTAGCCGCCGAAGCTCTGTCCACCCGCAACCCCCGATCGCACTCCGCTCGCACGCGGCCTGCCCTCACCTTCTCCTCCTCTCCCGAGATCTGAAGGCGAACCCACCTGAGAAGCGAACTTCCGGAGGCGAAGCAACAGCACATTCCTCCTTTGATGCATTTTGCGATTGTTGCGCTTGTTCTGCTTTGAAAGCAAAGTAGTGTGCTTCTTTAAAAAAAGAAGACATGGTGCTTTTCTGTGGGTGCTTTGTGTTTGGTTCTTGTGGTTTGGCTTCGGTTTTCCGTTGACTTGTGTGTGTGTTTCTCCTGCCTGGCTGGGGGCCGATTTGCTCCCAACTTATTTCCTGGAATACCCTGCGGCCCTGCGGTATAGTGGTTGAGGGCCCCCCTGCCCCCCCCCCCTTCAAGGTGAACAAGGTTTGGACATGAGATTCTTAGGACCCCCCTGATGAATCTGGAGACCCTCCAGTCCTGGTCCATCCACTTCTGGCACCTTCCCAGTCAACTGACCTGGAAGAGCCCCTTTGTGAGCTTGAACGCCTTATCAGTTCAGCAAACTTTAGTATGAAACATGCATTTTGGGGGAGACATGACTTTTGTTTAACAATTTGAGGAGTTTACTAGTGGCTTAGCATCGGTGGGTCTAAGCGCACACTTTCGGCAAATACGTTTTCGGAACTCAGCGGGAGGCACAAGGGGAAAAAAACAAAAAACAGGGGGACAACGAATCGTGCACATTAAAATCAACAGGCTCGATACCTCTTCTCGGACCTATCAGAAAACCCGCTCTGTATCCCCGGAAGCTTTGGATCACATGCCTGAAAATGCGGTCCTGTTTGAGTCAGCTAACATGTAACACATCGAAAGTGCGGACACTGTCCTGGGGCCTTGGGGTTTGATTGTGGCGCTGGGGTTTGCCCCACCCAAGCCCTCCGGCCACCGGAGGCCTGAGTTTGCCCCTCACACAAAACGCGACGCCCCCCGCCTGCTTCCCTTATAGGGACGACTATGTTGGGACGACCTTGGGCACTACCTTGGGGTAAACTCGAACCCGTGGTTGTTCTTTTTTGGGAACATCAAGCACTGGATTTAAGTCTACTGTGGCGTTCTTGGAGGCTACACCCCTTCTTTTGTAGTTTTTAGAAAAGCCAACAAAATAACAAGAAACACATGCCCCCCCCTGAACAAAAAAAAGGGGACACACCCACGTCGGGCGTAGCCCAAAACTGGACCCCCCCCCAAACCAAGAGCCCCGGCTCAGGCTCCGTCTCCTGCACCTCTAGCCGCAAACCTTCGGCGGCGAGCTGCTCCAGCCTCCAGACGGGGGGATGACCCCTGGGTTGGTCTTGACAGAAACCCAGCGCACCCTCCCCCCCACCACCCCGTTTTGGTGGAGTTGAGTTGCAATTACAAGCCCTCATCTCTGTGTCTCTGTGTCTCTGTGTCGCGGCGTATATCTCTGGGTGTGCATGTTAAGGAAATCCCAAGCCGTCGGGGTGCCCTCCACAGATTTGCCATCCGCCGCTGTGTGGGCTGCGCGGGCGTCCGAAGCGTGGACTCGCGCTTTCACGCACTTGGCCAATGCCAGCAAGGTGTCATCTTTCCCCTTCGCGAAAAGGGCATCGCGCCATTTTCTTCGGTGTAGCTTACCCTGAATGTTTGTACCTGCCATCGCCAGATAGCTCACCGTTTTGCCAACATCTGTCAACTCTTCGGAAAGCCAGTCATTTCCCCTCAGCATTTGACTTTCTTGCCGGGGTCTAAGTCTGGCCAGGAGAATTCATTTCTACTGGCTCTTTGTTACTGGGACCCGTATGTGGCTTAGGCTTCCCAGGCCCCAGCAAATCAAACAGCGACTTCAGCTCATCAAATGACCAATGCACTCACGAGGCTGCCTGGGACAATCCGGAGCATTGCTGGACTTCAACCTATGGAAGATGATAGTTGCAAAGAAGAAGTCTGGACTTTGTTCTGATCAATGAATCGACTTGGCATTTGAGCTTCCTCCTAACGCTGTCGCCTCGGATACGACCACTCAGAAACTGAGTTTTTCCTCCGGAGGGAAACAATCAACGCTACCCTCACCTGCCCCTTACACACCCCTTAGGTTGATACTCCCTGCTTGAGAGACCAAAAAGGTTGTTCAACAATGCTCGGAATAATCTGAACAACCATACTAGTCTGCAGAATCTCCTTAGAATGAATTCATGTCCCCGTGACAGAACCATCCCTAGCTGATTAGTATGGTCTTCCAGATTTTTGCCAAATTGACGTTGCTTCCTTCTCGATTGCCCTCAAGGCACATGTGCAAAGGTCGGGGGTGGGGTCATGAGGTGTAGGGTCCTCAGGCCACATAAACACGTCGCTTTAGCTTCTAGGGAACAACCCACTCCGGGCTTACTTTGTGGGCTCGGCGGATTTGCGTTCTAGCACCGTTGCCTTCATTATGTGACTCATTAAACTTAGATATATACATATGGCCCGAAATATATTGGATCCTGAACTTCCACAAACAACACCTGATTTGTTCGCCTGGGTTGTACTGATTCAAAAACAGGCTAGCAGCCCAAATCCTGGGGAGTTGCACAATCTACTTCATCCAACAGAAGTCTCCTAAGTGGATTGGCCAATATTGGCCAAGAAAGTTTGCACCTAAATGGCCTTCCCAAGTGTAACACTCACAAAATCTGGCAACTTGAGCGGCTCGGATCCCGACCAGCCCTTCTCCTCCAACTCTGTGAAGACGCTCTCTGGCACTGGCAGCTGCTGCCTGAGCGAAGCGATTTTGTCAGAGAGAGTCACCAAACGCATTTTGTTTGCCCAATCAAGGGACCCTGAGGTTCTAACAAATCGCTTCCAAAGGGCAATGTGTGAACACGGAACCCCATCTAAAGAATGACTTAGCGTTGCTTTGCGGTTGGTTTGGTTGCAATGCTTAGGGCATCCACCATAAGCCCTTATGGCTTGATCGAAATTTGTCCGAGAAACCTGGCGCGCTTCCACACCTGACAGGTTTGGGGTTGCGATTGATTTTAAGTGACACCCGACCGCGACAGGATGATCGCCCGACAGAGCTTGCAAACAGATCTGGCAGAAGTCCCAGTGTGGCAGATGTGACAAACTGCGGACAAGTGCCGGAGCTGCACCTGCTGCGACGGCCTTTCCCGGTGGCTCCCGCCAGCCGGGCCAGGACAAACGTGACAGCCCGAAGTTGAGCACGCGTGCAGCGGAAGAAGTGATGGGGATCGTTCGAAGTAAACTTATTTTCTGCGCAGGCGCGCAAAGAAAAAAAGGGGGCAAGTGAGGCCCTGTGCCTGGCTTTCAACAAAGCTGTTCAACCCAGGACTCCTTTCTGGGCCATTGGCAATGAGGTTGTGCCTTTGCAGGAAGGCAAAAAGAAGGCTCCATTATGACAAGAAGCAGCACTCCACAAACAATGATGACAATCAGGCTGCGGCGCAACAAGACAACTTCTTGCGGTTTATTCCTGGGCAAGCACACCGTTTCATTCCATAAAGTAAATGGACACCTGCATCGTCGGCGCCCCTCGCGGAGATTGCGGGCTGAGGTTCCGAATCGGAGCATCCTTTGAGTCTGCACCATTTGGGTTGGTTCAAAGGGAAACCGCACAGGGAGGACCCAGCTTGAGACACACCTGAGACAAACAAATCCCAAGATGCTGCCTTAACCCCAATCCCAAATGGAGTCTCTGCGACAAGGTTTTAATGAAACTGAAAGGCAGGGGAGTGCGCGCCACTCTTGGAAGACACCTCTTTGGCTGGGAGCCTTTCGCGAAGCAAAGGGCGAGCGTTCAAACAAATGTCAAAGGGGAGGGTTGACATCTAAATGCAACCCCTGATTGCTTGCGTGCTTCAACCTAAGACGTGATGTCTAGAAAATGGCAACCAAGGCAAGAAGGTAATGGGAAACCATGGAAACACAGGCGTCCTTTTCGGTAAATAACTTGGCGTTGTTTAGCGGTTGCGTGGTTGAGTTGGGTGGGACTGCAGGGTCGGGCGGGTTTAGCGGGTCCGGGTGCGTGGTTGTTGGGTAGGGCACTTCTGCAAGGTCGGCGGGTAGAATTACTACACTTGGCTCGAAGTCACATGCCACAAACCCTTCATATCTTGGTCAATTTGCCATTGACAGCCAGCGCCATGAGCCGGACGCGCATCGATGCTTTGGAGCTTCAAGTGGAAGAGTTCGCGCAAGCCCTGGCAGAGCTTCGGGTCTCGGAAGAGAATCGGCTGCGTGAGTTTAGAAAGCGCGGCCCAATCGCACTGATTGGCGCCTTCCTGTTAGGTTTCATTTCCGCCCGGCTCAGCTATAAATTGGGACTCTTCCGGCGCCTCGCGTGATCTGATTATTCGTCTCTTGGTCGAGGGCCGTGGCCTTAGAGGCGACTGTCATCAGTTTCAAGTCAGTGGCCCTGGCCTGCGGGTCTTGCCTGCGGGCGATGGCGTGGCTGCTGCGCTGCCTGCGGGCAATACTTGTTTTTGGCCTGCGGGTCGTGGCCTGAGGGCCGTGGCCTGCGGGTCGACTTTGCGCGCTTGCGAGCAGATTCTGGCTGACCCCCTCTGCGGCGCAGCTCTTCGCAGCTTGCGCGCGATATTACTGTCGCACGCTTGCTTCAAAACAGCAATCCGCTCAGCTGCAGGGTCTTAGCTGCTCAGCCAGATGCCTGCTGCACGTTTGCTTTTAGGTCTCTTGCAGCCGTTTTAAGCCGTCAAGCTGTGGGACATGAATTGTTGTCCAAGATGGGAACTGAAATTGAAATCGACCAATTGAAACATGTCTCCGCTGCAATCGGAATCACTGTTTTTTTTAGATAGCTTCACATTCGTTTAGCGATTGGCTTTGTGCGGCCCAGCTTGCCCAGCCCATGGATGCGAGAACGACAACAAGGTCTTCGAAGCAAGCCTTGCCAAAGCTTGTGCCTTCGCCTTTGGTCAAGCAGCATGTTGCGGCTTGCGGGAAGAGCCGCTGCAGACTGTGCTCGTGGCACAGGATGTGCTCTTCGGGCATGAAGCCTAAGTGGCTTCATCTCAGTATGCGTGGCAAGCAGGGTGTTGCAGCTGGTTGCGCTGACTGTGCGCGCGCTTCTGTGGGCGGCCCGTGGGCAGAGTTCCAGCAAAACCCATGCAAGGTGACTCCCTATGCAATGAAAAGGCACGAGGCGTCCAAGGCTCACCAAGCTGCTGCGCAACACTGCGCCGGGAAGGCGGCCATTGCAATGGCACCGCCTCACAGTGAGTTTCAAGCAGCTCTGACTTGCATGAGGCAAGGCGGCAGCGCGCGGCAGGGAGGAGTGAGCTCAGACCGCAAGTCTCGGCTAAGATTTGCCTTGAGCGACCCTTTTCTGCGGAGAGCGCGGCAGCAGCTGGCTCGAGCTCGCTGCGTGGCCCTCTTCCGCGACGAACGGAAAGGGCGGCTGCTGGTGCGATACCGCGCTTGCCTTGACGACTTGACCGTGGTCAGCGGCGTGCTCGGTCTCAATCAGGCGGAGGGTTCAGGCGCTGGTTTGACCAAGGTCAAAGATGATCCTGGAAGAGTTCGCCACCCCTTTCCATGGCCTCCCGCGGAAATGCTCGGCGCCATCCAGCGACGAGCCGAAGACGGTGCAAGCGGCCTTGCGAGATAAGGTTAGCATTCTGGTCTCGGATGCGGCAGCGAATGAGCTCCTCTCATCTGAGATGCTCCGGGGTCCTCCCGAAAGAAGCGGCTTGATCTGGGGTTGAAGCGCCCAGTGCAAGATGACCAGAAGGACGGCCGCGGAAGAAAGTCGGAAGCGGCCTGGCACCGTCGCAGGAAGGCAGGAGACCCGCTGCTGTTCTCAGCCTCAAGTCACGCCATGGCAAAAGCTTCGGGCTCGACGAAGCCTCCGAAGACACGACCAAGCTTAAGCCAAAAAGGTTTGCAAGACCAGGCACAAAGTCAAGAAGCGCGCTTTGGCCCAGCTCGTTGCCGAGGTAAATCAGCTGGCTGAAAATTGGACGCGTCGACTTGGCAGACACGGACCTCCTTCTCCAACTGTCAGGCTGGCCTCGGACTGCTCGGGCTACGGTTCTGATTTGATAGCGCTGCGACTGCTGGGCTTGCAGCGCCTGACAAAGATCGTCATGACGTCTGAGCTAGACAAGCGCAAGCGGCACTTGCATGAAGCTGTGCGATTGGCATGCGGCTGGCCCGCCACGGGCGGGGAGACATGCGATGACTTGATGCAGCGGAATGACCTGGAAGCGCCGCGAGCCGATCTCTACGTAGCCGGCTTCCCTTGCCCGAGTTTTTCCAACTTGTGGGCAAGAAGAGAGGTGCTCTGGATGCGCGAGGGCTCGTGACCTTGAAGGGCTTGAATCTGGTACTCGAACAAGTTTCTGCAATAGTACAGGCAAGACACAAGAAACTGTGGAGCTTCCTTCAGAAAATCTTGCGCATGCTGGACTACGATGTGAAGTACGCCGTCTTGTCTCCAAAGCAAATCGCTGTACCTCAGAGCTTACTTGGCCGCAGTTGCCCGCGAGTCGCTGCGAGAAAATTTGGCAATGCCGAGCCCGAGAGACGGCTGCAGTGACCTCCATCACTTCCTGGATAAGCACGTTGTTGGAACGGAGACGCTGGACCTTCCTGATTATGAAGAAAAAATAGGCAAGACTATGTGGGAGAAGGGCTGGGTGCTGGATGTAGGGTCCAGCAAAGCATTCCGGCACCCAATGAAAAACATGTGCCCATGCTTGACGAAAAGCCGCTGCAAATCGGGCGGATACTGTGTGCCGAAGCTCAAAAGACGTCTCTCCCTTTTCGAAGAAGGACGATTCCAGTCTGTTCCCCAGCAGCTCTTGCAGAAGATGCGTGAGCGAGCGAGGTGGACGCTGCAGTTGGGGACGCAATGAGCTTGGCTGTCCTGATGCCTGTTCTGGCACGAACCATGGACGCAGCTGGGCTGACCCAAGGCCTGGTCGAAATGACGCGCCGTCAGCCTGACCTTTGCGCCCCCCGCAGGCTGAGCTGGCACCTCAGGCTTCTTCGCCGGGGCTGGCGCCGCTTTTGCAGCAACGACGACCTCAGCATCCGACTCAGCAGCCGCCTGGCAGTCACTTGGTTCCGTTGGGCTGTCGTCGACGCCCTCAGCCTCCGACTCTGAATCTTCAACATCGTCGTCCAGGCTCACTGGATCAGTGGGGCGCTTTTCGGGCATTGCGCGGCGGGCGGGGGCTGTCAACTTACGGAGGTCTGTTCCGACTTGAACTTAGTTGAGCCGGGCAAGCGCTGCGGCAAGGCCATCGACGAGAGACCGGCAAACAATCAGGCAGCTCGCGCAGAGCGCACTCCCAGAGGCCAGTCAAGATGCGTGCCCGGGAGCTTGGGCCAGAGCCGTCGCCATCTCCGTCCGGCCCTGGCGGCGGCCCGCACGGCCTTCCGCTGCTTTTTCTTCGCCTTGCCGGTGCTGCCCTCGTAGCAGCTCTGCCAGAGCTTGTCGGCCTCGGCTTTGCCGATTCGAAGGCAAGTTTGCCAGGCCCGGGTCTTGTCCTCACTGAAGGCGACCCAGGCCAAGTGGTATGCCGACCGGGCATGTTGGTCCATGCCGGCGCAGTGCGGTGGCAAACGACGCTCAGCCTCTCAGCTGGCGGATCCGCCACAGGCGCCTCAGGTGTGGCCGCTTGCGCTTGGGTGGCTCAGCGGGACGCTGGCGACGGCCGCCGTCAGCAGCCTCCTCGCGGCGCCGGCGCCGATCACGCAGCGCCGGGCGGCTATCAGCCTCAGCCTCAGCCT